GTGGCACAGGGCATGCACTAGTACGCGTTAACAAAAATCTGTGTTAAAGAACGAACATAACAAGAGAACCAACGAGTGCAATAATGTGCAAACCGATCGAAAGCGACAACTGAAAGGGCTTATGCGGAAGGATATAGCACATATATGCCAGTTGTGTAAAAAAATGTCAAGATGCGATAGTACTGAGATAACAATGTGAAAATGCAGTTGGATTGTGTGGGGAAAATGGTGTCCGTCAAATGTCAAATATTGCCTGGATTTCTCGATACAATCGACTAAACTACAGTATCTACTAGTTGAAGAAAATCACTTACCTTTTGAAAACTCCGTCCTGGACGTGCCTGAATGAACGTGGTTCCAGTTGGGTGCAAGCGGTGCTGCTCTACCGCCAGGGTCCAGTCATCCATAAGCGGGGTTAGTACTCGTCTATCCGGGTGCTCTATGGGACCGAACAAGGGTAAAGTGGACACTAGTCCGGCATACAGCTGGGCAGTTTGTTCCGGTGAAATGGCTGGATCATAGTAAACACCAGCGGGGCCGCGATTACCGGCTAGATGACAGTGACGCATGGTCAACCACGGAGTTTGCACTCGGATTCCACTTCCGGCATTGTCCATAAAACGGCTGTTGGAAACAGCGATCCCGAGCAGAGGATCACCGTGAATGACAAGTAATCCATCGGAAAGACACTGCTGAACCTGAATAAGGTGTACAATCATCATGTCGATCGGTGGCAGCGGATAATCCAAAGCGTAATAATATACGGAGCAGGTTGATGAATAAACTTATATGTTTTGATGGAGTCATATTGGTTTGGCATACAGACTGCAATTTAATTTGAATTATTTTTAATCAATAACAAAATTTTCGTGATAATATTTAATGAAATAGATTTCAGATCAAAAGATTCTAAATAGTTAAGTTGAACACCACCACTATTACATAAAAGTTTAAGCAGAGAACTAACTAAAAGAATTCTGTGGTTTGAACTTTCACAGAAAACAGGGAGACAAAGGGGGGAGAGGGCAATGCGCTTACTTTCAGGCATTTTTCAGTAACTATTTAATCACTCGACGTGGCGCATACCCACTTCAAAATGAACCATTACGATGGTCTGCTAAAACGTTGGGCACATATTTTGCTTTGGAGGAACTGGTTCGCCAGTGAGCACTATTCGTGTCATGACCACTCCTCGAAAAGTGAACTTTGTTTGTAAGCTCATAGATAATACCTCCATGGCCCTTGGCGCGGTGGTTTATTCTCTGTCACCGGCGTGCTTTGGACCCTGTGGTCCGAGGTTTGAGCCCCGCCACTACCACCCAACATTGGTGGTAGGCCGCTTTGCTGTCGCCCGGTTCTATACCGCGCCTGATTTAGTGGAGCCTTATGCGGTTCGCCACTCTAAGTCCCGGGGCTGCTGGTTAGCATTACTGAACAGTAGGTCTTTTTAACTATGGGGTTCCACCCTGTCTGCTGTCCATCGCACACCAGTGTGTAATGAAAAAGGTTACACACTGTCATGATGTTTATCCGAAATGAACGGTTGATATTCCTTCGCAAATTTGTCAAAGTCACACTATTTATTATTTTATTATTATTTTAGGTCAACACAGAGAAATTGATAGGATTTTCTTCATGCCGAACCAATGTCCCCAACGGCGAACTTTTGAGGTGGGGGAAATCATTAAACATGAGCGATGCGATCAATGGAAGACACCTTAAGCGCATGTGAACATAAATTAAAAAAGTTCTATTGTACAGTGTTTTAGGGTGCATGCACTGAAGTTCAACAGGAATGGCACAACCAGCAAGTGCTCTCTGTGTTGACCATTGCAAACGAAATTCGAATTCGTCAAAAAGTACGGTCTCATTTGGGGAATAGGCAGAATTTGTGCTAGAGTTAGACTGACACATGGGAACACAATTCGTAGACCCTGATGTCTGTCCGGTAACATGAAAGATGAAAGAAAACTTCTTTAGATATTACGTTTTTCAGTGTGGATGCAAGTAACGTGATGCCAATCAACTGCCGCAAATTATTTACCTGTTCACCGAAAAACCATTGCAGTATTTTACCATAGTAGACTAACAAAGTGAGCTGTATTAGGTTCTTCCCCCGGGATTGATTAGTGCAGCATCACCCTTTGTCAAATTTTAGATTTGAAAGGTTGCCAGTAATGGATCTTTCATGAGCACACTCGCAAAAATATGTACATACCTCAATATTTTCAACGGCTGCACTATGGTAGTCCAACTGCAGGCCGGGCATCAAAATGAGACGTGTGTAATCCAACAGACCAGCTCTTCGAAGTCGCACATGTTGCACCGGGGTCCGCGAACCCATGTCCGAGATGGTCACGCGTACTCCGGCCCAACGCGGGCGATGACAGCGAATGACCAAATCATCTTGGTGCGTACAGCTATGCTCATCCGGTCCATCGTGGCGACATTCAAACAGATCGGTCTCATATCCGTGACATTTCAAGTTCGCTATGTGAATCGGTGCCTCGGATGAGTTGAACCAACGGTCTGCGGATTCACGAATGGATTGTCGGACACTGGATTTAGGGTACCAGTTCTGTCCATATTAAGAAAAATGGGAATCTTGGTTTCAAATTACTGCCAAAAATGGAACTGTGGTCTTCATCAACACGACTCAGAATCTCAAATGGTGAGATGACGAGGATGAGTTAGAGAGAAATATTTGCAAGATCTTACCTTTGGATGTGCGACCAAACCGATCGCAGAACAGACAAGCATAGCAGCATATTCCGTGAAACCCTTCTCGCATACCGTACCCCACAATGATGTGTTCATGGGAATCGACCTCCTTGTGTTTATACCATCTTCCGTTTGGGAAGGGCGCACTTCAACTCGCCCTGTGTATGTGTCTGCTAGCCAGCTCCCTCCCACTAGGCGAATCGTTGTCTGATTCGATAACTTTATCATTGGATCGTCGGTGCCGTTCATGAAACTTGGAAAATCAGGCCACTGAACTTCTGAATTGGCTGGCCGAAACAGATCCAGGGTAATAGGCAATGATGCAGAACCCTGTAGTCTCAATTCACCCTAAAAATCAAGAAAAAAAAATAATGTAATGGACAGCAAATGGTTTTCCCTAATGCATTTAATATTATATATGTATATGAATATATGTAAAATTCTATGAACACCGTTAAAAAGCAAACGCTAGTTCATTGTGGTGAGTCGTTGAATTGTTTGCCACCTTGCGAGCACATTGCCAACGCAAGTTTGTGAGAACATTATAATAGGATCAACTGAAAATTCAAACGTCGTGGACACAAAAAGTGGTTTATCTTGTAGTTAATTTCACTTTCAGTTCTACTTGATTGGAGTCGGAGGCAGGTAACCGCTGTGCGTTCCAGTGCTTTGACCGTCAACTCTCATAACCATAAGATTGAATCTGGTAACCGTGGTGCTGTATACCTTGCAAACCCGTACAGTGGATTATTAGTGGATTGTTTTAGTGGACGGGCCTGTCAACTCTGAGTCCGAAAGGGGCATATGACCGACGGATCACTCTAAAGTTGGCAGAGGTTACCGTTGTCAATAGAAATTTGTGTGAAATCATACGAACATTGACTTGATAAAAGGTAACGACTTTTTGGAATGAAGAGATTATCAATTTATTTCAACCAATCTGATAGCATGTTTAACGGGCTTGAATGGGTACGGTCTATAACAAAAAGCGTGTATGGTAGACCTGATTCTGCCGAAGACTTTCAATTGGAGATGACAAAACTAGGGTTCTTTTTATTATTTTAGCTTGTAGTAACCGATTAGTTATTATATAAGACGGAATTCGAGTAAATTTGAATTGGTAATTCTAGTCAAACTCTTTATTAGCTGGTTGGCATGGTGACAGCTTATACGCCTTCCATAGTAGGAATCTGGGGTTCCAAGCATGAATTGGCTAGTAGGTATTCCACTGTTGCATTCAAATCTGGTATTTTCCCAGTGTGTCAATACACTGAGTATTGTGTGTGACAGTGATTCAATTCAGAAATAAGTCAACAAGTTGAGAAATTTAGCAACCCCCATACGAGGATGGTTCAGATCCCGACATGTATGCGGGAGTTTGTTGCTTAGAGTTTAACGGAAAGCAACCATAGTAGTTCAATGGGCTTAGAGTGTTATGAGATGGACAATACTATACTATACCTTTTCAACTTCAAGTGAATCCGTTGTAACTTCAAGTGACCCAAACCAATTGCTTTTCAATGAAAACCCCACAAGATGGTTGGTGTTACGGCCGTCAAACGTCACCGATTGGACCGGGTCTGCTACACCCCGTCCATTCCGAATGAACTCACTTCTCCGAAAACAAACAAAAGTACTTTTCGCATGAGTTACTAAGCGAGGATGAAAGGTTCAGTGGGGTGGGCTGTTCTACCCCCGGCCCCTCGGCCACTATGCCCAGATGTGAATGTGAGGATGAATCATTGCATGAATGGGTTTAGTCTCGGCTCTCGAAAACCCGATGAGTGAATTCCATTGAGGCCGATTTTCTCTCGAATAACACCGATTCCCTTGAACCAAATGCAATCGGCTAAACATTTCTAGCATTGAAATACACACATGATAAAATAGCATGTATGAGCGGATGGGCTTGCTTGTTGCAGTTAAATGTTCCCCTCGAATCACTCACCACACAGACCAAAGAGGACTCCTTCGTCCGCAATGAAAGTAAATCCAACTAATGGTGAATATTTTGACTAAACTGGAACAAACCCCGGTAGTTGATAATTTGTACCGTTTGCACCCCGAACTAAAGGTAAAAGGTCGACCTGCTCAACCTAGTCTACTGGTTTTGCATGATCGTTTGGTTTTAACCTCAGTCTGTCAAATCAAGAGGACAATTACACACCCAGAGTAAAACGAAACGTCATAGAAAGCTTACCTGTGAAAACAATCCTACTCCATTATCAAAATACATTCGAACTCCTGGCTTGATAGTAAGAATTCCCCCCGGCGGGATAAAAATATCTTTGGTCACGTGATAGAAATTCACTTCACCAAACAGGGGTTCCAGCGTAACCTGTCTTCCCCGTTCCACGGCTAAACGGCCACCAAGTTCAATCATCCCGGTACGGGAATCGAGTGCGATAAAACCAGGCACAAACGGAGGTTCTCCGGTTGTAGCAAACTGACTGGCCAAGTCGGGATCTTTCAACACTGGGTAGTAATCACATCGTGCCAAAGTGTACCTATAAGGACATTAAGGAGTTCGTGTGTGTGTTTACTTGAAGTTCAGAGCAAACGAGAACGAGCAGGTGGTTTTGATCGGAAATATGAGTAATGGTAATATGCGAATAGAATGTTATTGTGTGCAGTGATGTTTTGTTGAATTCTGTATGCATAACTATCATATGACTACTGCATGACAGTAGACACCTTTCTATCTTCCTCGATCTAAAAACACCTTTCGACTCAGTTGACCGCTCTGAACTCTGGCGCTGCCTCGCTCTAAAGGGTGCCCCCGAGAAGTTTATTTTAATATTACAATCGCTTTATGCTAATAGCCGAAGCCGAGTCCGAGCTTACGAGCACTTTTTCTCCCGAGTTCACCACGGAAAGTGGTGTTCAATAGGGTTGCCCTCTATCTCTGTTTCTGTTGAACTTCATGATAGATTTAATTATTGAAACAGCCCTATCCTCGTGCCAGGATAGCGGCATCGATTTGATTCCCAGTGGTCAACTGTTTAATCTAGGGTATACCGACGACATTGTGCTACTAAGTGAAGATCCAGGCAAGTTGCAAGCTTTTCTGGATAGTTTGAGTGCTAGTGTTGCCATGTTCGGTATGCGTTTTGCACCTTCAAAGTGGAAAATGTTGCTACAATATTGGATTGGTCCAGCACCCAGCCTCACCCTGACTGGGGAAGTAGTAGAGAAAGTAGACAAATTTTGCCATCTGGTCAGCTATATCTCACATGGAAGACGCATCACAGATGAAGTGTAGGTGCGCATACAGAAGGCTACTTTGGCATTTGCCAACTTGAGACATTTGTGGCGCCGTCGCGACATCCAGCTGTCTGGGAAGGGTCGAGTGTATGCTGCAGCAGTTCTGCCAGTTCTTCTTCACGGTGCAGAAACTTTGCCTCTACGAAAACAGGATAAAAATAGATTGTCGGTGTTCGCTTACCGCTTTCTACGTCGCATTGCACGAGTCTGTTGGGGTAACCGGACGAGTAATGCTGAGGGTAGGTGTAGTTTTAGGTTATCGCGGTAGTCCATGGGAGCAAGTGATCGACCTCCATAGATAACGTTGGTTCTGAATTGTTACGTATGTCACCAGATAGGTTGACACAGCTAGCGATGTTTGCCGAGGCAGGTAGCGGTTGGAAAAAGTTCAAGGGTGGTCAAGCTCATTCCTGGCAAGAGGGCATGGAAACCCAAACAAGGAGACTAAGTTTTATAGGCCCCGTCAGGCCCCCTGGATGGGGGCCCCGAGTTGATGATCACCGATGGTTAGATGCACTGAGTGTCGCAAACAGTGGCGCTCGTGCATCCACTCATTATTCTCCTAAAATCACTCTATATGAATTCTCCTTCCGCTTGAATTTTCTCAACATTCCAATCTTCATCTTGCTCCTTTATCCAAGTGGGTGGTCAGAAGACAGCAACCAAAACCGGCGCAGGAAAGTGTATGAATAATAGTCGTAAAATTCAAACTGAATTGAGACATCTTTTTTGAGATGGAAAATATTACATGAGATCTTCACGTGGAATGAAGAAAGAGCAAGCTGAAAGTTGAAACATTCACAACTAAATTCTTTATTTCTGTTGGCTCCATATGTCTACATGGTCGAGGCAAGTAACACAACAGTCAGCTTTCAAAGATATGTCGTACTAAGTATGAATAAAAGGGATAGCCAGATGAATTGTGGTAAAATATTTTGCCTGCGATGTCCAACGTTTCGCTCTTAGTTCGGTAAATGATGGGAATCTGTGAGGATATAGTTAACGAACAAAAAACAGGTTTGAGACCTTTCACTGGCGAATTAGTGATAATAACCTGCGATGAAAATACTGATGATTGGATATCGGCTATTTAAAAACTAGCCAGTTAAGTGACCCGGTCTGAATTAATTTCATAGGATTTTATTTCAGATCAGACCCTTGCGTGAGACGTGTGGAATACTCACCGGTGATTCTGATCGAAAATACGCTTGCTCACAGCTCGATGCACGGCACCCCATTCAGTACTGTTCCAGGCGAACAGATCACCCCAAAAGTTGAGCGTTGTGTTGATATGCTTGTCCGACGCAGACAAGTGACTGGCTATTTCGCTGAAAGAATATATTAGAAATAAAGACCAGTGAGGGTGAAATTAGTCGTCTCAGTCAGAGGGGGGGGGGAGGTTACAGTTTGGGGTATTTGTTGAACCGAATAAGGGACTGAAACCCTTGGAACGAATTCGCCTGAAAACATGAAGTAAACGACCCATTGACATGTCAAAAAGCGCTGTACAGATTCTATATACTGATAAAACAATCAAAGGTAAATACACTGATTTAGAATACACCTGCAGGATTTTAGAGTCATTCCGTTACAATCTGTGTGAAAACAAAGTTTAGGGGTCATGAAGACCATCGTGTGTTTCGGGTATCGATTGAGGAGCCTAGATCCTAGGGGTAGGTGTTATACATATATATATATATATATTTGTTTAGTGTATGTTCGTGTTGCTAGTCTTAGAGAAAATGAAGAGCTTGAGAAAAGCGCTTATATGAGCACAATTCGGAAGTCGAATGTCTAGTAGAGATAGCATTAATCAGGGCTGATATCAGCATTCTAAAATATTTGGATCGGATTATGGTAACCTGATATATGATCCTGAATAGTGCTGCACGGTGTTCCGTGTCTATCAACATGGCAAGAATCGCACATGTTAGTGAATCACCGAAAACCTTGGTTAGCCTGAAATTGTATTTAAGATGCGAGCATGGATATAGTTCAAATTTTAAGTGGATTGATCGCTGTAGTCTCAGATCACTATAGTATAAAATTTATATTCGAATTGCTGTCACATCTGCAGTGTAGCCAGAATTTGTTATTAGTTCAGGTTGATTGATCAAGTTATCGGACTGAAGAATGGATTCACAGGCAACGGGTTTCAGGAACACTTTACTGAGAGAACTTCACAAGTAACGAANAGTAACGAACACTATAAAGCCCGTCAAGAAGTTCACGACGAGCCGTGTTTTACTCACCTTCTATGCAAAAAGAAAACCTTTCACACGTCATCAGTATGTGGCCTTTAAGAGTGTGTTCTCGTAGACTCAACGACAATATAAACATACAAAATCCGAGTATAGGAAATTGAGTTGATTTTAAAACAGATTACTCAAGTTGGCCAAATTTACTCTGTTGTATATGGTTTCAACTTCCCTTTTTAACTCGAAATATATTTTGGTTGTAGTTCAGGAAAATAGCCAACACTAATACTGCAGCGGGACCTCAGAAATACGGTGCTGAGTGCAATGGCTCTGACCGGTACGCAAATTCAGACTCTGGCACTCATCTCTTTCGAAACCCTGCACCTTTGCTGTGGTTACTATTGCTTATATAATTGTCCGTCAGTACGTAAAGGAGCAATATTTACAAAAGCAGTTAGCTGGCACACTGTGGCTGTGTTTAACGCGGACCAACTAAGCTTCACACCATACCTTTTTCAATTTAAGATGTTCGAATATCAATTTAATATGCCACAGTATTAATTTAAGATATCGCAATATCAATTTAAGATGTCTGAATGCCAATTTAAGATGTCATATTGCTATGTGGATAGTACGACAGTGCGATTTTCTTGTACCTTTTGTGATACTCTTGTTGTCACGTGCAGTCCGTCCATGCAGCAGTCACCGAAACTACTGAACTTTTCCCAATAGACATACGAACTTCAAATCTACCAAACAACAACCTTTTTGTTGCGTCATTTGATCCGTGAGTTGCATTGGTGTGTACACATGATTCAGTTCGATGTGCCTGTTTATTGAAAAATGCCAAGCCTCGGGAAAGTCTCTGGCATGTTTTGGATCGGTGGAGAAGAACGGGAACAAGCGGAACACTGCTACTTCATAGGCACTGATGATGTCACTTCGGCTGGTGACGAAATAATTGGAAATAAATTGCCAAGTTTAGCGAACAGTGAAATGGAATTCAGTTCACCCGAGCTACGAGAATCGATTTTCAATACTCTGTCAACTGAGAGTATGAGTGAACGAATGACTTGACAGAAGAGCATCGGATGTACATCCCTGATGAGCGGTGAGAACCGCAAACGAGCGTGAAAAATGTTGAATCCATACTACGTGGATCAATTCATTTTGTACGGTTTGAAAATAGTATGCAGGCCTAGTATCAAAACATTGCAATGGTAGTGCAGTAATACAGAACCAGTGAGCATCAAAATGACACACACACACATACTAGTCCGATCCGGGATTCCACAAGTCGTTTCTGACCACCGCCACTTGAGATGAACCAACCACAATCACAGCAGGCATTGCGGAACGAGGATGCAACCAGGGTAACGTGCGTTTCACGCTACAGTGAATTGGAATAGAAAGAAAATTAGTGGGAAATCATCACCACTATCACCAACACCAACACCATGGATCAAAGGTGAGTTAGAGAATTAATGGAAAAATAAAATAGATGATCACTATAAATGGTAAGGTTGAAAAGATGTTTAATAGTATATTTGTTGAAATGTGTCACGTTACCAAAGCATTGTAGAAAGTGATTTATCCTCAAATACCATCGTGATATATATATATATATATATATATATATATATACATAAACAAATTTCGGAGAGGCCCTCAAATCCCTTTTCATAAGTAGTGATTCCTCTTTATCTATTGTCTCTATAGTTCAAAAGAAGACATCCTTTGCGGGATGTCAACATTTCATTTAATCTGTTCCACTGCTGATATAAAACAAATAAGCACATATATATATAGCACATCGGGCTGGCAAACCCCAACGAAACGGACGTGTACAGGGGGCCATTAAAATTAGAAAAGAGGTCAAATCTACGGCAAGTGCTTTGCACACAAAGCAAACGCTAATAGATTTTGCGCTACCCAGGCGGGATGTCATCTAATCGCCCCAACCCATCCACAATTCAGTTATCTATGGTCACCTGAATGTTTCCTGACATTCTCGTCTATGTTTTGCTCTATTCGTGTTCCCAGTGGTTACCTGCTATCACGTTTCGTGCTTTTCCCTTGCGTGTGGACAGCATTTTGATGGACTGGATAATTACTCTTTATCAAACTGACGCCATTGATTTGAAACGTTTTATCACTGAACAACGGCCATTTTGGTTTACTGTATACCAACACTTTTGTAATATCACAAAATCTAACAGTTGGGGAAGCATTGACAAATCCGTGCACAAGATGTATCACACCACTAAGATTGAACCTTTTTTATAAACAACAGCGACAATAACAACAGTGATAAAGACTGATGATGGGGAGATACGAAAGACATCTACCGTGGACCAATCTTTACATGGGGCAGAGTAAAAAAGGGTCAAGGGACACCAAAAACGTCAACACCATAAACTTTATTCGTCCACAAGGAACGAAAAGGTGACGGAAACATCTGGGACCAAATTCACTATCGGTTTTGCAGCTGACTCACCGATTTCCACTAAATACATTGTACGCAAGCTGAAGACGTTGTCTTTCTGATAACTCTGTCAATCTGAGATCTACAACATTGGGTCCTGTGTTGTCCACAAATCGACTGTATCGTATGACGTAATCAACCGGGAGAGAGCGATATGATTCGGCCTGAATCGAATCGAGACCGTTATTTACACGAAGAGCACCGTGGCGATGATGGAAGAAAGTGCAATTGGTCACATGACCTATCATTTGGACCATAGGTTCGACCAAGATAGCTTGGCGTCTATTTTCCTCGAAGTGGCTGAATCCCACGCTGAAATTTGTGACAGGCTTGTCAAGCAGCAGATTGGAGTGTGTGGTTGGAGGGGGGGGGGCAGGG